GTTTTCCTGGCACCTAACTATAAAATGATTCTGTACATCAATGTTAACCTATACCTGGACAGTAAACATGTATAAAATATAATGGGTTAGAGCAACCATTATAAACTTGACAGATCAAGAGACTATGTTTTTGTTTTTGTTTTTTGTCTTTTTTTTTCGTGACCGGCAACGGATCGCAACCCTCGGTGTTGCCCCCGCTCCTCGCTCAGCCAGTGAGCGGCCGGTCTGTATGTGGGATCCGAACCCTCGGCGGGAGCGCCGCTGCGCTTCCCAAGCAGTGCGCTGTAGCAGTGCGCCACCGGGCCGGCCCTCAAGAGACTATGTTTTAAGAAGGTAAAATTGAAGAACAATCAAAATATAGCTGAGAGTACAAATAACCATACCCACTTTAAAACAAAAATAAAATCTTTGACCTAATAAAACTGAGGGCAAGAACCAAGACTGGAGTGACCTAATCATGGCACTATTTCTCCAAGACTACGTATGCCTAAGTGGCCAGTTGACCTCTCCACACCCACTCTGTCTAACTACATATTTTCTAAATCCAATAAGCACAGGCTCTAACTAGGTAATGAACAAAACATCTCACTGAAGCACAGAAGCAATTTAAAATGATTACCTCTAAGTCATTGAAAAACAGATGTGTATCAGCCACTTCAAAAATCATTTCTTCCATTGTTAAACCTGAGCCAATCACTACTGTTGGGTCCTGAAAGACAGGAAGAGGAAAATTTGCTTGACTTGGTACTCACAGGACTGGTTCTGATCTTCAAATATTTCAAAATTATTTCGGGTTAAGACTAAAACAACAGTTTTTCAAACTGTTATCGATGCAATTTCATTTACAAGAATCTGAGATTGTACAATAGAGTGGATATAAACAGTTAAAAATGTCAGGACTTTAGTTTCTAGAAACTAGCGGTTTAGTATTTATTTTAAAAATCAACTCATTGCTCTATAGTCAAAAATCATATTCATTATACCCCTTTGGTGCTCTCTTGTCACTTAAAAAGCATCCACTTAACTTTTTGGGAAGTAATACCATTAACACACACACACACACACACACACACACAGAGGTCACTATCTCAACAACTAGGAAGTGAGTAAAGAAAGGCTGGATGAAGGGTTGTAATCTATTTTAGAAAGACAATTACCGATATATGAAGGTACTTCAAAGTTCATGGAAAGATCTGTATTATCTTTTAATTTTGTTTTTCCATGAACTTTCTAAAGTACCCTCATACTTTATTTGTATATACATGGCATATACATTTCATTTAGCTAAATGAAATGCTCAGTTGGGGCTGTTAAACATGATTCAAGGGATAAGAGATCAGTTTTGGGGATATATAATCCTGAGACCCTGCTCCGTTTTGAGCCTTATTCCTACATTTTAATCTTTACAAAATGCCAATCTCAAATAACTCAGCTTTCAGGACTGGTCCTAGGTCTAGTTTCTAGCTCCACAATCAACTCTGCCTGACCACATATCCTGCCTGGTGCAAGCCATCCAAGTTTTGTATAGAAAGTGAAAAGCCAACAGGGTAAGATGGTGGTAGCAGAGAAAATGATTTCAGTTACTTGCCTATACAGTCAGAAAAGCAACAGTTACAACAAAGAAAGACTCAAATTACCTTTCCATACTTCTGGGCATAGGATCCAGTAAGAAGGGAGTGGAAGATGATGATGGTTTCATCCAAGTCCCACAGAAATACCCGCTGAGGAAAGAAAATTAAAAAATAATAAGTATCTTTTCCAATTACAATGGAATGAAACTAGAAATCAATAACAGAAGGAAAACTGAAAAACTCACAAATATGTGAAAATTAAATAACATGTCTTTTTTTTTTTTGGCAGCTGGCTGGTACAGGGATCTTGGTGTTATCAACACTATGAAATAACTGAAATCATTTTACCATTTCAATAATCTTGAACAACCAATGGGTCAAAGAAGAAATCACAAGTGAAATTAGAAAATACCTTGAGATGAATGAAAACAAAAACACAACGAAGTAAAAACTTATGAGATAAAAAGTAAAAGCAGAACTAAGAGGGAAATTTATAGCTATACATGCACACGTTAAAAAAGAGGAAAGATCTCAAATCTATAATTTAATTGTACACCTTAAGGAACTAGAAAAATAAGAGCAAACTAAACCTAAAGCCAGCAGAAGGAAGGACATAATAAAGGTTAGAGCAGAGATAAATAAAATAGAGAATTTAAAAAAAAAAAAGGAGAAAAATCAATGAAACCAAGAGTTGATTCTTTGAAAATGTCTACAAAATTGACAACTTTTAGCTAGACTTAATATGAAAGAAAAAAAGAGAAGACTCAAATTACTAAAATCAGAAATAAAATGGAGACATTACCACCTATTTTAATAGAAATAAAAAGGATTATAAGAGAATACTATGAATGGTTCTGTGTCATCAAATTAGATAACCCTGATGAAATGGTCGAATTCTGAGAAATACACAACAGAAAGTACCAAAACTGGCTCAAGAAGCAATAAAAAATCTGATGAGACCTATAACTAGTAAGATTGAATCAGTAATTTAAAACATCCCAACAAAGAAAAGCCCGAGACCAGATGGATTCACTGGTGAATTCTACCAAATATTTATAGAAGACTTAACACCAGTCTTTCTTAAACTCTTTCAAAAAACTGAAGAGGGGGGAACTTTGTAACTCATGCAATGGGACCAGTGTTAACGTGATACCAAAGTCAGACTAAGACACTACAAGAAAACTATAGACCAATAGCCCTTATGAAAAGTGATCAAAAATCACCAACAAAATAGGAGCAAACCAAATTCAGCACCATTTTAAAAGAATTATACATCATGACCAAGTGGGTTAGTTCCTGGAATGTAAGAATGGTTCATTCAACATACAAAAATAAATGTATTACATCACATTAATAGAACAGAAGAGGAAAAAAACACATGATAATCTCAATTGATGCAGAAAATGAATTTGATAAAATTCAACACCCTTTCATGATAAAAACACTCAATAAACTAGGAATAGAAAGGAGCATCCTCAACATGATAAAGGCCATAGATGAAAAACATAGCTAATATTACACTCAGTGGTAAAAGTCTGAAAGTATTACCCCTGAGATCAGGAATAAGACAAGGATGTCTGTTTTTGCTACTTCTATTCAACATAGTACTTGAAAGTCTAGCCAGAGCAATTTGGCAAGAGAGAGAAAAAAGGCATCCAAATTAGAAATGCAGAAGTAAAATTATCTCTATTTGCAGATGACATGATCTTATATGTAAAAAACCCTGAAGAACCCATAAAAAATTGTCAGAGCTAATAAATAAATTCAGAAATCAGCTTTGTTTCTATACACTTGTAATGAACAGCCTGAAAAATAAATTAAATAATAATTCCATTTATAATGGCATCAAAAAGAATAAAATACTTAGGAATGAATTTAACCAAGGAGGCAAAAGACTTGCATGCTGAAAACTATAAAATATTGCTGATGGAAATTTAAAAAGACATATCTGAGCAAATGGAAAGACATCCATGTTCATGGACTGGAAGACTTAATACTGTTAAAATGACAATACTACCTAAACCTATCTACAGATTAATGAAATCCCTATCAAAATCCCAAAAAGTGTTTTTTTAAGAAATAGAAAAACTCATCCTAAAATTCATATGGAATCTCAAGGAACGACCAAATAGCCAAAACAATCTTGAAAAAAAGCAAAGTTGGTGGACTCACACTTCCTGATTTCAAAACTTACTACAAAGCTACAGTAAATCAAAACAGTGTGGTACTAGCATAAGGACAGACATATAGACCAATGAAATAGAATTGAGTCTAAAAATAAACGCTCACAAATATGATTGATTAATTTTCAATAAGGATGCCAAAACTATTCAATGGGGAAAGGAAAGTCCTTCAACAAATGGTGCTGGGAAAGTTGGATATCTATATGCAAAAGAATGAAGTTATACCGTTACTTTACACCGTATACAAAATTAACTCAAAATGGATCAAAGACCTAAATTTATGAGCTAAACAATAAAAATCTTAGAAGAAAATAAAAATTTTCATAATCTTGTATTCTTAGGTGTTACACAAAAAGCACAGCAATAAAAGAAAAAAATCAAACTTCATAAAAATTAAAGTCTTTTGTGCTTCACAGGACACTATGAAGAAAGTGAAAAAGACAACCCTCAGAATGGGAGAAAATATTTGCAAATCATATATCTGATAAGGGATATAAAGAACTCCTACAAACTCAACAGCAAAACCAAACAATTGAATTCAAAAATGGGTAAAGAATTTGAAGAGCGTTTCTCCGAAGAAAATATACAAATGACCATTAAGCACAATGGAAAGATGCTCAACATCATTAGTTATTAGGGAAATGCAAATCAAAACCATGATGACGATGAGATACCACTTCACATCCACTGGGATGGCTACTATAAAAAAAGTGGGAAGTGTTGGTGAGGATGTGGACAAACCAGAACCTTTGTGCATTGCTTATGGGACTGTAAAATAGTACACCTCAAAAAGTTGAACACAGAATTACCATATAATCCAGCAATTCCTCTCCTATGTATATACCCAAAAAAACTGAAAAGAGGGACTCAAACACATAGTTGTACACTAGTGTTCACAGTAGCATTACTCACAACTGCCAAAAGCTGAAAACCCCAAGTGTCCACCAATAGATGAATGGATAAACAAAAAATGTAGTTTATACATATAATGGAATATTATTCAGTCATAAGAAGAAATAAAACTCTGATACATGCTACAACATGGATGAACCTTGCAAACATTATGCTGAGTGAAATAAGTCTGACACAAAAGGACAAATATTGTATGATTCCACTTATATGAAGTATCTAGAAGAGGCAAATTCACAGGCAGAAAGTAGAACAGAGGTTACCACAGGACAGAAAGAGGGGAAAATGGGGAATTATTGTGTTATTTTGTTTGGGATCATGAAAAAGCTCCAGAAATACATACTGCTGATGGTTACACAATATCATAAATGTATTTAATGACACTAAATTATATACTTAAGAGTGATTAAAATGGTAAATTTTTGTTATGTATATTTTACCACAATTAAGAAACATGAGTGAGTTCTCAATTTTTCCCAAGAAATATATCGGAAGTGTAGTTTATCTTTCTTTCTTCTTCCCCCTCACCCCAAACCCCTCGAACAAAGAGGAAGAGAAGCTCTGAATACAGCCTCAATCTACCTATGTATTAAAATCACCTATCAATGGACTCGTTTTTAAATATATCTTTTCCCCTTATTAAATAATCACATTATAGAAAAACTGAAAACAGAAACCAAAAGGATAATATCAAAACTCCACTATTATTAGCATTTTGCATGTCTTTCTAGTCTTTTTAATAACGAAGTCAAATGTATATCCATAATAAATTCCTAACAGTACTTACGACACAGAATAAAACAGTGCCAATCTCAGTAACAGGTCACCAGATCTGTTTGTGTGTCTCACAGAAACCTTAAAGCACTCTAGTCCTCTCATTTTCCTTTTAGATTTCTAAATGGGGAAGAGTATGAGATCACTTGTGATTCCCTTGCTTTCTGAATATGATGCAGTTCTTTCAGTTCTCCTCTAGAATACAGAGGATAATTTATTCTTTCCATTAAAAAATTACCTGGCTACTGGGGGGAGGGGAGAGAGGAAGGAGAAAGAGGAACGGGCAAAGGGACATGAAAATCAACTACAATGTATATTGAGAAGTTGAAATAAAAAATTTTTAAAAAATCTTTTGTTTCTTGATAGGGGTTGGAATTATACAGGTGTATGCATTCAGCAAATGTGTATTTTTAATTTGTGCATTTTCTTGTCTGTAAATTTTAATCTCAAAATTAAAAAAAACTGTAAAATAATAAACTTGATGATGTTTATGCTGAAAAAAAGAAAAAAAAAATTACCTGGCTACCTAAATTCAGCACAGCTTTTTCAATGTTTTTGGTGAAAAGCATCTGTGTATTTACATTTTTCTTTTCACTTAACCAATTCAGTTTCCTTTGCTCAGGAATTAAAAGGCACACAACACAGAACCAAATTATCTTCGTGAGTTTCAGACATATGTGTGATAAACTTAAGAAATGAGAAAAAACGGGCCGGCCCGTGGCTCACTCGGTAGAGTGCGGTGCTAATAACACCAAGGCCCCCAGAACCAAATTATCTTCGTGAGTTTCAGACATATGTGTGATAAACTTAAGAAATGAGAAAAAACGGGCCGGCCCATGGCTCACTCGGTAGAGTGCGGTGCTAATAACACCAAGGCCCCGGGTTCGGATCCCACATAGGGATGGCCGGTTCGCTCACTGGGTGAGCATGGTGCTGACAACACCAAGTCAAGGGTTAAGATCCCCTTACGGGTCATCTTTAAAAAAAAAAAAAAAGAAAAAAAAGAAATGAGAAAAAACAAAGTAGGCAACTCAAGTGAGTTTCTTCCCATACTTCCAATTCACTGTCCTGGGAAGAACTGGTATCAGCTTTCCTCTTGCCCCGGTTCTTGCCAGTCATGTTTTTCCTGGACTGATCATCAGCATCTTTACTTGGTGTAGTCTGGGACAAAGACGGGCTTGTAGAAGGGTCTCCTGGAAAAGACACACATTGCCAGTAGTCACAGGATGTAAGAACCAGGACAGGATGTAAGAACCAGGGCAGGAAGAGGGTCAGCAGATTCTCTGCCCTTGCAAATCATAATGCAGGGACAAAGGTTGGAAAACTAAACTTTATATAAGCAATTTTGGATTAGTTTCAGGCACTGAGCATTAATAGTAGTTAACATCACAAAAATAGTTATAACCAGACTTTATATGCTTGCCTCCTGATGGAAGAACACATCTATGAAGTTGTTTTGCCAAAAAAATTGAACCTGAATCTGGTCAAGCTTCTAGATTGGAGTTTCTCAACTTGGCACAACTGATATCTTGGGCCAGATGATTTTTGCTGTGGGGGAATGTCTTGCTCATTGTAGGATGTTTAGTTACACAGCATCTGTAGTCTCTATTCAGTAGATGCCAGTAGCACCCCCCACCCAGTGTGACAACAAAAATGTTTCCACACATTGCCAAAGGTCCCTGGGGGACAAAATCACCTCTGGCTGAAAACCACTGCTCTAGATCCATTTGCTAATTTACAATAAAATACAGAAGGCAGCAAGAGATGTTAAACTACTCTGTAATGATGTAATTGGCAAAATTCAGACTGGGAAACAATATGGGATAATTTCCTCAAGAAATAAATTACAAAGGGGAAGAGATGGGGGAATTTATAGGTTAAAAGAGACATAAAACACAAAATACAGACCACCAATCACAACATACGGACCTTATTTGGATCCTAGTCATCTTCCCCCCACTCCCAATTTTCTATTTACAGTCATATGCCACTTAATGTTTTGGTCAATGACGAACCACGTATATAATAGTGGTCCCATAAGCAGGTGTGTAACAGGTTATACCATCTGGGTTTATTTAAGTACACTCTATGATGTTCACACAACAACGAAATCATAACGACACATTTCTCAGAACATATCTCTGTTGTTAAGTAACATATGACTATATTTATTTATTTTTAATTGACAAATAAAAATTGTTTTGAAATATGTATACACTGTGAAATGGCCTGGATCCTAATATAAGCAAAATGTAAAGAGCAAAACAAAACACATAACATTTATGAGAAAACTGGAAATATGAATACCTTGTGATATTAAGGAATTATTGGTGAATTTTTTTAGATAGAATAATGGCACTGTGGTTATGTAAACGAGTACTTATCTTTTAGAGAACAATGCCTGGAATTTGGGGAGAGAACTGGAAGAAGTACAGGTTGAGCATCCCTAATTTGAAAATCCAAAATCCCAAATGCTCCAAATTCTGAAGCTTTTTGAGTGTCAACATGACGACACTCAAAATAAATGTTCACTGTAGCATTTCAGATTCCAGATTTTTGGATTAGGGACGCTCATGCTCATGCAATAGGTATTCTGCAAATTTTGCACACTCTAAAAAAATGTGAAATGCTTCTGGTCCCAAGCATTTCAGTTAAGGGATACTCAACCTGAACAACTACAACAGGATTCCGTACGAGTTGTTAATTGTTTACGATGGATGATGGATGTGTTAATGTTCATTAATCTATTCTGACAACTTTTGTCTATGTTTGAAATTCTCCATTATTCAAATATTAAAATTATTATGAACAAAGATATTTACAGAAATGAATTAAAAACTAAGGCACCAATGCTTGTAATTATTTCAAAGTTACATAAGTTTGAAGCAGCGACCATCTGCATGCCCATCTACTTACTAGACTGATAAGCTCAAGATGAGCAGAAAATTGTTTAGTTGATGTAGAACACTGTTTTTAAACATGCATCAATGCTAATGACAAACAGTGCTTTATTTAAGTTACATGATGTGACAGCCAACCACCAAATTTTCATTAAATGTAGAGATAAATAAAAAGTATATGTATATGTTTATTGAATGTGTGTATAAAGCCTTTATGTCAAAGGTTTTTAACCTGGACATCATGGGTCAATTCTTTTCAGAGCTGTAAACCTCTTAAGTATTATGTATTTCTTTTGGGGGATGGGGGGAGAAGGACCACAGCTTTCATCAGAATCTCAAAGGGATCCAAGACACAGAAAAAACTATGCTCTGAGGCCCCAGCAGCAGTATAAAATATGCACAGACTAAAACTGGGGTACTCCAACTTTTCAAAATATGCTGGAATTCTGACAAGCATGTTAAAGCTACAGGGAGGGCAGGGTAGGAGTCAGGCATACAGTCTTTTCATTCATGGTACTTATTACAGCTAAATAAAGCTGTAAAAGAAAAACTGGGTATGACACACAGCTTGAATATACACCTTTAAAAAATTCTATTGACACTAACGTTAGTGACAAACAGGAAGAAGTTAAATGATCAGATCAATTATTTATGAACACTCACTGAGCATCTACCATAAGCCAAATATAATTCATAGAGTGTGTGTGTTTGTGTGTATTTGTACATAGGCAGAAGGGAGTATTAAAGAAAAAGTCACATTAGCAAAACTTAAAAAAAAATCTAGCAATAAAGAAGACAGACAAAAAATTACCAACAAATTGGTATAAATTATATGTCAAATTAATGAAGTATAGAGAAGACAATTATCACTTAAAAAAAAATCTAGCAATAAAGAAGACAGACAAAAAATTCCCAACAAATTGGTATAAATTATATGTCAAATTAATGAAGTATAGAGAAGACAATTATCACTTGTAGACTGTGGTGATGAGAGAGCTTTCTGAGATTAACAGGTAGAGTAGGAGAACATGAACAGGTTCACTAAGGGGCCCCAGATGTTGAGTCTGGTTGAAAAAAGGGATGTCTGTAGGCTTGAATTACTGGTTAAGCAATATGACTTGGATTCTTTAGGCAATGGTGTATAGTATGGGGGGCAGAAAACGGGGACTCTCAAATTCAAACCAACAAACAAAAACATGAAAAGATTCTGAGCAGGTGACTGACATGATAAAAAATGGTATTTAGATTGGTTACAGCATGATGTTATAACATCAAGGTCAAGGGTTTGGATCCCTGAACTGCTGCTCCCCACCCCCCAAAAAATTGGCATTTAGAGAACATTAATCAGATGGTATTTTAGAGAATGGAGAAGCACAGGGGAAAAAACTGGGGATGAAATGATCAATTAACCATGACGATCAGGATTAAAGGCAGGAAAACTAAAACATGTGAAATGACAGCAACAATGAAAACGAAGGAAAGAATTTGAAAAATGGTGGGATTAGGGAAGAATGTGGGAAAAAAACGGAAGATGACTGGTCTGGTTTTAGGCCTAGTTTTATTAAGAAACAATGGTGTCACTTACAAGAATTGAGAAGTCATAGGCAAAACTGGTTTTACTTTTGGAGGACAAAGAGAGAAGGAAAGCTGAAATGAAAGTCTGGTTTTAGATATGCTGAATTTAGGGAAATAGCAGGACATTAAAGAAAAAATATCCGTCAATCAGCTAGAAGCTTGAAAATATCATGAGGTCAGGATTTAAATCTTCCTTTTAGAGGTAATAAATGGACATCACAAGTGTGGTTTTCTGTGGATGAAGTAATTAATGTGAAAAAACTAAATAGAGACTGTCCATGTTAGAAGACAGGATAAAAAAGAAGAGCTATGAAAGAGAAAGAGACAGTCCATAGAGGAGTGCCAGGTACATAGGTAGAATACAATAAATATTTGTGGACTAAAACAACAAAAACAAAAAGCAAGAAAAAACACACAAATACAATAACAGTGAAACATAAAAAATGAACCAGAATAGTAACGCTAACTGCAGCCAGAGAAAAAGATACATGGGGACAGTAGTGATAATATTAACTGTTGCAGAGAAAACAATGAATAAAAACAAACAACAAAAACAAAAAACTCAAACACTAAAGATGTTACCTTCTAAACATAAACAGTTAATACAACAGTGATCAAGACCAAACCACAAATAATACACAAAGGAATGAGTGCTTTAAAGTGGAGGTAATATTTATTCATTCCACAAATATTTATCGAGTGCCTTTGATGCGAGTGCCAGATATTTTTCTAGGCTCTGGGAATATATAAGTGAACAAGACAGAAAAATAAATCCCTACCTTTGTGGAGCTTACATTCTTGTGGGGGCAGGGTAGGAGACAGAAATAAATATGGAGCAGATATAACCATGTTCTAGGGAGGCTTAGTAGAACAACAAGAGAAACTGGATGGCAACCTGAGAAGCCATCCAGGGTCCTATATCTGAGGGCATCCAGAAAAAGGAATCCACAGCCCGTACTATTCCACAGCCGTACTTTTTAGATGGGCAAACTGACCATGGAAAGAAGAGAGGAAGAGCAAGCTAGATGAACCATATCAAACAGGATGAACAAAAGCAGTACCACACCTGGTTTGAGATGCTGGCAACTGCTGCTGTTGGAATATTGGCAATTGTAGATGAAGTGGATATCAGGCTGGCATTTGTGCTTGAAGCTATAGAATTAAGAACATTAAAATATATTAAAGATATTATGTAAAAGACTAGAAGAAATTGAAAATATATTGTCTTAAGTGAACAGATCTACAAGCAGATAAAGAACACTGGTAAAAGAAACAAATACTCATTTTGCTTTATTGCACACCATACCTCAATTTAGACTTGATTAGAAAGAAAACAGTTCAAATATCTTTCTGTTTCAACTGGAGTCTTCAACTCTTCCTACGAAAGTCCTAGAAGGATACATATACAATTCTTGGCTCATACTAATGAAAACAGAACTAAACCAAATCACTAACGTCCATCTTCTCCAGAAGCTGAAAAATAACTCACAATGTGACCCACTGTAAATCAGTAGAGCTTTGGTAAATCCTACACTGTGATACTGTTTAATGTCACTTACCCTAAATTATGTCTTTCCTGATACAACATAATTACTTTAAGAAACAGAGCTCATCCTCCAAATTCTAAAGTGCTTGGAAATGCTTCATTGGCTCTACTCAAATAATGGATTATTAATGTAGATCAAAAAACACCATGATCTGGCATTTACAGACTTTATCAATGAGCCTGGAAAAACTCAGAAAATATTAAATATTATTCTGGTCAGGTAAAAATATACTTTGTAAGCTACATGGGATGCCTGAATTAAGACAAGGAATTTAGATTAAGTTTTACATCCTTTTATCACAGATTCCAACCAGGGTTTTTTTTTTTTTTCTTTTTTCATGTCCGGCAACGGATCGCAACCCTCAGTGTCGTGCCCGCACTGGACCGGGACCGGCAACAGGATCGCAACCCTCGGTGTTGTGCCCGCACCTCACTCAGCCAGTGAACGGGAACCGGTCTG